GCCACCGACTCATTTTGAGAAAAATTGGTGACCAAGCTTGGGATTTTCTCTTTCTTTTCTTGTTCTTGAACCCAGAAATCCCCCCCCCCTCTGCTGGAAATTCCAGATCTGCTCTGTTCCGTCCCCTGCAGCCGACCGAAGCTCCCTAGCCACCGCCATCCATTTCCGGCCGGGAACACCGACAAAGCTTGGGGTTTCTCCTTCTTTTCTTGCTCTAGAACACAAATTGAACCCAGAAATTCTCCCCCCCTGCTGGAAAATCCGGATCTGCTTTGCTCTGTCCGCCGGCTGCTCTTGTTGTGGGGGCAAATTGCTTGGGTTTTGGGTAAGAAACAGCCATTAAATCCCTTTGTTTTAGCCTTAAATTAGCTTGGGTTCATGTTAAATATGTTGTTTCTCCAAAATTTTGATAGATTTCCCGTGAGCCCGTGAGCTTTCTTTTTCTATGCCGCCGGCCTTCCCCCTATCTGCAGCTCCGGTTTTAGCTGGAGAATTATGGTATGTGACAGCCGTTTAAGCTTGAAATTATCCATATAGTTTGCTGGCTGTGTTGTCCGAATTTGATAGAAAATTTGGGGATAATTCCGGTAGCTTTAGGATGAAGTTTAAGTATTAATTCAAGTGAGATTTATATGATTGAGTGTTAATTGTCTGCTGTGTGATTTTTGGAGAAAATCCCGTGAATTAGCTAGTGTTTTGGCCAATTTTTGGGAGTTGGAGTTACTGTTTACGGGGTACTGTTCACAGAACACTGTTCACACACAGATGGCCAACGATTAACGGGGATTTAAAGGTTTAGTTGTGATATAAGAATAAATTTGGAGATGTCCGGTTATGTGGAGATTGATAGAAATGGCATTGGGATTAGGAGTGATTTTAATGATGATTTCAGTTTGAATTTGTGATAGTCCGGTATTAATTCTGAGGTGTTCTGATTAGGTTCCCGATTGTTCTGTCAGTTAGCACTGAGATTGAGTGCTCGGTTTTATGCGAGTGAGGTATGTAAATCATGGTAAAGCCCTCCAATTTTAAAGCATGTTTTAAACTGTTTTTGAGATGGTGGCAAGGTTTAAATTGATTTTAAATTGATTTTATCAGCATCTGAATGTGATTAAACTGAAATGGAAATTGTGATGGTTTTTATGAGAATTTCATTGTTTTCTAGAAGTGAGCATGATTGGAATGAAAAAGTGAGAATTTCATTGTTTTTCTGGAGTTATTGTGCCGAGCATGATTGGTTTGAAATTGAGTGGAGCATGCCTATTTGGAACTGACTGAACTGTTTTGATTAACTGAGAGTTTTGTAAATTATGATTTTTTGTTAAATCCATGCCCACATGGAATGTTCTGGTTATTTCTGAAATTATGGATTTCGATCGTGAATTTGGGACTTCGATTGTGAATTACGGATTTTGATTGTGAATCCTGCATGGTTTTGTCTATGATATAGTCATGATTTCCGATCCCCGCTAGTGGGTGTGTAGCACATCCGATCCCCGCTAGTGGGTGTAACGCTAGCACTTCCGATCCCCGCTAGTGGGTGTGTAGCACATCCGATCCCCGCTAGTGGGTGTAACGCTAGCACTTCCGATCCCCACTAGTGGGTGTAACGCTAGCACATGTTGACATGTTTACTGATATGACCGGTTCATTCTGATGCCTGCCTCTGGGCGAATACATTGGCAAATTTCTGTCGCCTGCCAGTGGGTTGTTATAACACTGGCCATGACTTATAGATGAGACTACTGATGAGATTTATTCTGCATGAACGGTT